CTCCCCCCTTCTCGCTGCTGGAGGTGCTGCTGGCTGTTGCCGTCGTCCAGTCGTCCGGCTCCAGCTCGAACTCAAAGTCGGACGTCAGTCGGTCGATCTGGCTCACCACCTGTGGATAGATGGATGAACGGACGGGCAGAGAGGAGCCACTGGATGGGACCGTCCCATTTTTGCTCCATACCACCATGTCCCTAAATCTCTGCCATTTCCCCCAGCATCACCAGTGTGATGAGTTGGGAGGTCTCAGCGCAAATGGAGCTGCTCCGGGAGCCCCTCGGCAGGGACCAAAGCCCATCCGATAGCACAGCACCCATGGGCCCCAAGCAGGTGGTGAAGCCTTGGGTGCCCCGGGTGCTCGGTGTGGCAGAATGGGCCCTTTCCTGGGTGGTCCTAGGGTCTGCCTTGTCCCCTGGGACCATGAGTGTCACCCCAAATGCTCATGCACGTGGTGTCCTTCGGTCCCTCGCACTTGACCGTGGGGAGCCACGAGCAATTGCCACCTCCTCCCCCTAGAAAAGGCAGCTCTGTGGGTGGGGAAACTGAGGCCGGGGGTGGAGAATATCCCAAGGTGGTGGGACAAAATACATAGGAAGGTGGGAGGGGCTGCGGGGACAGCGCTGTCACCCTCCCACCCTGGCTGGGATGCTGACGGGCTCAATCCCCAGTCCTTCATCTCTTGCAAGGTGTTGCGTACATCAAGACCCATGGTGGCTTGGGGATGGGGTCACGGCCCTGCCATGCCACAGGGGACAGAGCCCATGTGGGACATGAATAAAACAAACACTTAAAAAAATTTAAAAATAATAGACGTAATGTCCTAGCTGGGGTTCAAGCCACGGGCAGGGCTGGAAGGGAAAGACCTCCTTCCTCCCATGGCTTCCATGGACCATGGTCTCCATCTCATGACCTTCGGATGCAAGAGGGTCGTCACCTGCCTTCAAGCCCTTAACCCCATCCAGCTCAAGGGCTGTCCAGCACTGAGCACAGCACGAATCCTGCCCAGAGTTCCCCAATCCCACCCGAGCCCCCGCTGCCGTGGCATCCGGATGGAGCCATGGCTGTGCCTCCAGGAGCATCGTGGTGTTTCTTGGCTGGTGTTGCTGCGTGTATATATGTGTGCGGGGGCGTGTGTGGCTTTATTTTGTGTGGGAGGCAGAGCACGATGTGAAAATTCAACTCAGCAGCAGTTGGAAGTGCGTATTTTTGGCAGGGTTGCTGGCTTGCCCCGCCTCGCCGGGGAAGCTGGCAGAGGGCCTGGCTGGTCCCAGCGCTGCCAAGTCGGAGGTGGGCAGCGGCAGACAGGGTGGGGGGCTAGGGGGAACCCCTCGATATCCCATGTACCTGTTTGTGCACCCAGCTGATGCATTTGGTGCTCCCTGCCTCCCTGGTATGGGCATTCGCAAGGATCGGTGCATCCCAGCAGCCGGGGGCTGTGTCCCCCCCTGCTACTCCCTGGCCCCCCCATCCCGCACACGGAGCATTTGGGAGTGAAAAAAACCCTTTGCTTGGCTTTTTCTAGGTGGTTTCTCTGTACATAAATGTTTTGGGTTTTTCTGTGGTTATTTTTCATTATTGCCTTTCTCTCCCCATTTTTTTCTTTCCGCTGTCCTTCTGCATGTCCTTTCCCGGTGGAAATCAGCCACAAATTTCCCCAAATAAGGGAGGGAAGATAAATCAATGGGCAATATCTTGCCAGACACGTTTCCGTTCCTTCTCCTCATGCCACATATCCCCGCCAGTCCCACGGTTCATCAAGGGGTGTTGAACCTCCTCACCTACCTAGAATAATTAATCATGACACATCTCTCCATCATTTTGATACTGCTGTTATCTCATGACTCCATTTTTCTGAGCACTTTTGCTGGGGGAAACTGAGTCCTTGGGCTCAGATGCCCCATCCCATTCTCATATTGGGTGGCCAAGGGTGGGCACCCCAAAGCTGCTGTCATGGTGCCAGGTTGCCCTTGGTCTCTGCATCCCTTTGCTAGATGCTGGCATGCAGAGGTTTGGGTCAACACCATAAATCGCTAGAAATGCACTATAAACCACGGCTCAGCAGGGCAGGCTCCTGGCAGAGCCCTCATGGTAGATGAGGACGCATGGGCAGAGTTAAGGGTAATTGAATATGTCTGGGCATCTGAAACCAGGAGCCCGGGGGGATGATTACGCTGTCAGCAGCCAAAGTGGCTCCGTTACATTCTGCTGACCTAATTTTAATAAAATTCCCATATTTGAGCTCCAAATTTCACTTGTTCGACAGCCCTGCCCATGCAGCTCTCCTGTTCTGCCAAGTTCCTGAGGAAGTGGCACCAAGGATGGGGGACCCCAACCCCCCGATTGCTTGTTGGGGGGGTGCCAGCCATGGGCACGCAGCACCCCCTCTTTTAAACCAGCTGCAGGTCCCACGGGACATCTCCAGGCTCTGGCTGCAGCTAGGACCATTTCTTGGGCCACCAAACGCTGTGTGACAACCCAGGGACAACCTGGATGAGCATCTCTGGAGGACAAAATAGTGTCACCTCCACGAGGGCACAATCCCAAGGGGCACAGGAGTCTGATAAGGTTTGAGTGAGGGTGATGGGGCTGGATGTGTGCGTTTGCTGCCTGCTGCAGACACAGAGCAGAGCAATTGGGGAGACCTGGGAACAGGGAGACCCTTTCTGAGACGGGACCAGGTGGTGTCACCAGGAGGATGCAGGTAGAAGGTTAACAGCCCCAACCAGCCTCACCTGGGACCCCCCACCCTGCCCCTGGTCCGGGAGCCCATATAAGCTCAGCCCTGGGCTAAAAGTCCTCTCCTGAGCTGTGCTGCTTGAGGACTTGTCCCCAGCTCCATGTCCTGGCCCTATGGGTGGTTTCTGTCCTGGAGGGACCTCTTGAAGCCTATCCCTGGTCCTGCTTGTGGGATGGACCTTGGACCTACGCTATGTCCCTGCTCCTTTTGGGGTCCCTAAAGCAGGGTAGTGCTGGGGATAGTGAGCTGACAGCTTCTCATCCCAGGCAGCAGAAGGCAACGGGCTTTACCTAAGCTCCTCACCTGTGATCTTCGACTTATTTTTCCTGCCTCCTTGCCCACACAAGACCTCCAGGGGAGGTGTGCAGGGACCCATCTGTCCTTCAAGCTTTGGCTTTGAAGGGTGCTGAGGGCAAGCTGGGAGCATCTGCATTAGCATCCGCGAGAAAGTCTTGAAATTAGAAAAGATGATTTCTTCTGTTCCCAATGCACGACCAGATTTCTCTCCCCGCCCCCCCCCCTCTTTTTTTCTCTTTTCTTTGGGGGAGAAAGGGTGAAACTCAAGGAAAAGAAGAAAAAAAAATAGATTATGTGACCTCTTCTTTCTCAGTAACAAGAAAGAAATAGGAAAAAGGGCAGGAAAAGAGCTGTCTCTGGGAAACACCCGGCTATTATTATTTTTTAATAAGGCAGTAAATGATTCTGCTGAAACCCTCAGCTAAAATGAGATCACCTCTGTTTTTACAAAGGCTTGGTGAGTACAACACTGGGTTCAGGGCCAGCATCTCCCTGGGCTTTGAGTTGGGTCCCTGTCACTCAGGGTCCCTGCTCATCCTCATTAAAGGGACCCAATGTTATTTGGGCTTGGTGGGTGCCAGGAGGAGGCACATCCCCATCCCGGTGCCCATCCCCATCCCGGTCCTTGTCATGGCACAGGGGGATTAGTGTCACATCGGCAGTGGCTCACTCAAGGCTATTTTTAGGAGCGCTTTCTATTTTAAACGGGTGGTGGTGACATGGAAGGGAGGGGGATGTTAAATACCTATGTGACACTTGGTACCCACTGAGGATTTAAATGTAAAGTAGGATTTAAGCTTTTCTCCCCCCTTTTCTCCTTCCTGAGGCAGGTTGTCAAAGCTTTTCTAGCTGAGGCCATCGCTGCTGGCAGAGGGAACTGGGGTGAGAGCGATGAGGAGGGATGGATGGATGGACCAGACCTGGGATCGGGGGGTTTGGGGTGAGACCCTGGTGATTCTCCCCATCCCCCAGTGAATTGGGGTGGCTCTGTCCCCCTACAAGCAGGTGAGGAGAGTTGGGGTGTCTTCAGCATGAGCACATGCCATGGGGGTGACCAAGAGAGGACGTGTCCCCATCCTCCTTCACCTTTAGGTTTTACCTTGCTGCAAAGAGCCGCCTTTTTGGTGACAGTAGAGCATCCCTGGTCAAATGAGAGGTACCCAGCAAGCAGGAAAACAGGGAGGAAAAATAATTCCCCTTGACCTCGGTACCCAGCAAGCAGGAAAATAGGGAAGAAAAATAATTCCCCTTGACCTCATGCGTAGTGTCACCGAGGGGCCTCATCCTGCTGCGTCAGAGTGCCCTGAAAGCAAGTGCCGGGTGGGCAAGGGTGCTTACCCAAAGGGACAAGCTTTGAGCAGCCGGAGGATAAACTGGAGCGAGGCGGAGGAATGGGCCCACGTCCCTATGACACCCCACAGAGATGGGCAGCGAGCAAGGATGCGCTGAACCACGGCACTGACCAGGTCATCCCCACCCTAAAAACCAGCTCCCACCATTCAGACCAACTGGGAGTGCTGGGTGCTCCCCTTGCCCCACGGACGGTCCCTGCTCTCATGGACATTGCTGGCAGCCAGAAGCTTTTCAAATAAAAGCCTGGGTGCCCCAAATTGCGTATTTACTTCCCTAACTAAGGCAGATGTTGAACATCTGGAGACTCATTTTTTTAACAGGATTTTTTGGTTATTGGCTGCAAATCAAGCATAGAGGTCCCTGGCT